GGAGGAGCTTGGACGGTAGGAACGAAGAGACAAGAAATGTACCCGCCACTGATTTGACCTGGCATGACGCAAGAGTATACTGCTCATGGGTAACACAGCGGTGGCGAAAAGCCGGAAAGATTAAGAGGGACGAACATGTTAGACTACCAACGGAAGTAGAATGGGAGGGAGCTTGTCGAGGCGAGCTGAAGCGACCTGACGATGGCGATCCTGTGTGGCCTTGGGGCTCTGCATGGCGCAGCAATGCAGCCAATTTCGAGGAGACCGGATTTAACGAGCCCTGTACAGTGGGTCTATTCCCAAGCGGCCGCTCGCCGTACGGCTGCTACGACATGGCTGGTCAAGTGTGGGAATGGTGTAGCACATTGTGGGGTGAGGACATGTCTGCACCTTCCTTCCAGTATCCATATCAGCTTCAAGATGGGCGAGAAGATCTTGAGGCCCCTGAAAACATACGAAGGGTGCTGCGCGGTGGGTGCTTTTCAAGCGGAAGGCTCAAGGTCTCTAGCTCTTATCGCGGGAGTCTGGAGCCGAGCGGATTCTGGCGAGGGAATGGATTTCGGGTAGTTGTAGCGAGAGACAAGGACTAGCTTTGCGTTGTGGGGTGTCGGCTATCGTCTATCGGGAAGTTGCGAAAGAACAACCGCAATGGCGCAAAAGCACGTGCGACCCATGTTGCAGCTCAAGTTCCCTGACCTGTCTGAAGCTCTTTTACAAGAAATACGCATCTGTTCGCGGATTCAGAGTCGAGACAATGGTCTATCATCGAAAATTTTGAAGTTCCAAAGTCGGCGCAAGACCTGCCTCTTGCGACTGAGGCGAATATTCCATTCTTCATCCTCTTTCTCGCCTCTATTGATCCAGCGACAAACCAGTCATGGTGCAGCGATGTCAGAGCTTCACTGCCTCTCCTCAACAGGATCTTCTCTGATCCATCTGGTCCAGTCGTTCATTATACCTGCGTCGGATCGAGAGCCGAGTGAGTTCGTTCTATGTTCATACGGATGCTTGTTTGACCTGTCGGAACAGATACAAGGAAGTTCCAGGGAGCCGTTTCCGATCAGACTGGGACATTCCATATGTACCGACGCTTGTGCGATATGAGCGTACTGATGGAAGCGTGAAGGAGATCAGCCGTCTGGTGGAGGGAGAGCTCTTGAACGAGGTGCAAGTTCGATCACTCATTGCGATATGAAAAGACCTTGAGATGAGGGTGCAACTCCTTGTTAGATTAATTAGCGAAACTATGGATAGTGTTGAAAATCGGCTACGCGCGGAAAACATTGACAGAACACTAATAGCCAAGCGCTACTGAGGTCTCGCTCTGCTCAAAGCGTCCGCATCTGAGAGGGCGCGAGCATTCCACACTACGCCTTCGAAGTTGGCAGTTCGCAACCATCTATCTTGGTTGTGTGCCAAAAAAGGTCAAAAACATACAACAGCGGGGATTCGCCAGTGGTCCCCCACGTGACTACTGATCCGCCGGTGCGCTGCTTAAATATGGCTGAGCGGACGGGAAGCCATGTAGTCTCCTGTTCGCTCGCCACAAAATGCCGTAAAATTACTGCATTTGGTAACTCGCCTACGGTAACTGTCCCCAAATCCAGTATTTAACGACATATATAGCCACGTCGGCGATAAAGTCGCATTCATGCGGCGTCTGTGGAAGTTCTAGTATTGGATAGCTCAAAGATTGGTGTTGGTTACCTCGATTATCTCCATCCAATTAAACGCCAACCTCAGGTGTTGGTTGCCTGGCCCCAATTCTTTGCGGCGATTACGGGAAAGAGACACCACCGACTGCATACATACAAGCCGCTAGCGATTGCGGCGTAACTTGATTTTGCTGCCTTGAAGCCGCAATCGCTAGTGACTGTAGCCAAGCAAGCAATTTCTCCTTTCTCGAAACTCCCTGTGAGATACAGCTTCAATAACCTACCAGTATTGAATCTCGCCTCGGATTTCCTTTGTTTCCCTGTGTAATGCAGCATGACTCTGTACAAGAGTAAACAAAAGCCCGTCATATATGCTATACATAAAATACTGAGCCTGATTTAGACCAATTAGACGTGAAATTAAACGCGTGGCGTAAAATGGAGGCGTGTTCAGCCTCACCATGTAAGGCAGACCACTCTTCGTAATCCTAAAAGACCACGTAGCACCTTTCCCATTCCCTTAGTGGCACTAAACTCGCTGTCTCATCATGGTTTTAAATTCTGAAACCGAACCTTCGATGTCAGCATACCAGCAGTTGCCAAAGGAGAAGGATACAGAAGGTGCAAGAAACGAAAATAAGGCTAAATTCCCCAAACATCCGACGCAAAGTCCAAGCAAACATGAAAGGTAGAAGAATTGGATAACCAAAAGCCCGAAATCGCGGCCAATTGCCTCGAGATTTTTACCGAACTGCCTCCAGGCGATGGTGTTGGAAGCGAATGGAACGAAAGTGATCTTGAGATTTCCGAGCATGAGCCGTTACTTTTTGAAAACTAATGTGTAATTTTCCCTTGTTCCGGGAAGCTTGAGAGATGCTAAGCCGTGCGTTAGCTTTTCCCGCTATGCGAGCGTCAGTCGTTTGCGCCCTTGGATCCCTGAAATCCGACACCAACTCATCCACGCGCGAACACTTTCAGTGTCAAGATTGCCAGACGACGAGCAATGCGGTGGCTCCAAGCCGGACTAGCTTCTGTGCTTGCAGTCGCATCCCTGGCACTCATGAGTGGGATCACCAAAGTATTTGCGCCCGTGGACAACGTCGGAACTTTCATGATAGGCAAGTGCTTGACAGTGGATGACTGGAATGCGCTAGGCCACTTCCTCCTCAACACTACCGGCACGCTCTTTCTCGACGCTAGGAGTTACTGCATGCAAGTTCTGCTTGCACCTTCTCGAGTGCTTGTCGACCGGGCTCACAAACAGGGCTGCTCTCTGGATGTCGGCATACATAGTTTTGGAAACGTTTAGAAAATATCACCGAAGAGGAGGGTAATCTGGTTCTTCCTAGGTACGTTCTCGACGCTGATGCATTTATTGTAAGTCGCACCTAACCGCTCACTCCATCGCCGCTCAAATTAATGTTTGCAAGCTGGAACTCGGCTATCTTTCTCATCAATACCGTTTACCGTATTGCCCATAGCAATCGTTACTAACGACTTCGATCGAGCACACGACCAATGGCCAATTTCGAACACTATAACAGATACGCGAATCGCAAACGTCTCATTAATCTACGCACTCCAGCAAAGGGCGAGAAGTTTCACGCACCTCACGAGCAATGAATGTATTGACGCTTCTCTGGACTCTCGCAACACCAGCAGCGAACTGGTCATGGTTTCTAGCACAGTATCAAGCCAAAATGTTAGAAATGGCATTAAGTCTTCTCTAATAGAGGGGTTCATCAGTGGCATGGATCACGATCGGTGGGATGTAGCCACAAATTGGGTATGCGACCACGATCCCGCAAACTGCACAAAAGAATTGGCTATGCCTTCTTCTGATCACTGGATCGTTCGTGGTCAGCAAATCCAACACTGTCTCGTCGGACCATCCGGAGACAATGACAGGAGATGTGGGTTACACTTTAGCAAGACGATTTTCATTGTTATCGGCATTTGCTTGTTGGTTGAAGCCTTCCTCATTAGTTATGTTGCCATCCTCAGCGAGCCTCCAACAATAGTAACACTTGGCGATGCTCAGGCCGAGTTCCTTGCAAGGCCCGACTAGCTGATTGAATCTACTCCGGAGCGGGATGCGGACACACAACCGAAGAAACACCATTTTGCACGACTCTAGATAACCGAATGGAGGCCGATTTGGCGGTTCTGGTTCAATGCTGTGGGACCAAAGATGTGGATAATTACCGTCACTCTAATCTTCGCGGCGTTGGCTCTTGGCATACAGCTTTACATCATGTCGCTTGATAGTACGCGTTGGCGAGGTCGTGGAACCAGCTTACCGGATCTATGGAGTTATGGCGTTGGTCAGACAAACTGCTTTACGCTTGTCGAAGGGTTTTCCTTTGATCGAGGTACCCAGTACTTTGTCGCTCACATCCTGTTCGTCAACGTCTTCCAGGTCATGATCAGCATGTTATATCTCTTTTCCAATAAACGTCTGACTTGCCAAGTTATTGCTGCTCAGTGGACTCGCTTTATGACGTCCACCGACGGAGTGCCAGACCGGAAGCCGCTCCGTGTCTCATCTCAAGTTGGCCTGCAACGCACTTCGTGTATACTTTCATTACCCTAGACCTACGCCTTCCCTCTGATGATTGCATTTGTGTGCTTGCATTTCCTAGTAGCAAGAAGCGTTTTCCTTGTGCGGACTACGGCATACGGGCCAGGCCCAGCAGCCCAGGCACCGCGGATGCGGAGCAGCGACGCATCTCGTATCGGTTATTCGAGCATGGGCATATTGCTCATCACATTAACTGGGGCGATTATCCTCTTGGCACTGGTGGTTAACAGCTTTAGAAGATATCCTGCGGTCCCTAAGCACCTCCCACGGCTGGCAAACAAACTGCATTCATAAGTGCAGCTTGTCAGAGACCAAAAGTGGACTTCGAAGCCTATCTGTTCGCAGTAACGTTGATGGCTGTTGATGTCGAGCAGGATCGCACCAATGGAACTGAAGCACTATTGGAAAGAGTCGTGTTTTCAAAAGACCGATTTTCTGTTGCACCAGAAATTAGGAAGAAGTGTTTACAGCCCATGCCAGTTGACAAGCGTGATGACTGGGGTTGGTTGATGGAAGGTCTAGGATGGGTCGTACGAACGGGTTCTTCCGTAGTCGTTAAATTAAGACGCCGAGCTTGATATAGCCACTATCAGATGGAATCCTCCTGTCGATTATGATGATAACCCACAAGCTTCCTAAAGCTAAAAACGAGACTTGCACGAATCCAATCAACCTCTTACCACTCAAGAAAAGCCTGCCACTCAGTGTTGGCGAAGATCTTGAGGGCACAGTTGTTAACAATTAAAACAAACAAGACAGGGCTTTGTCTTGATCTTAATTTAATATATTTATAATATAACTTTATTTTAATTAATTTAATTTAATTAATTTAAATTAAGACTTATATATCTTAATAGCTTTAATAAAAATTAGTAGTAAAAATAGTATATATTTCTATGCATAGCTAGTCTATATATTCTAAGCTTTATATACGTAGTCTATCTATATATTCTAAGCTTTATATACGTAGTTAATTTATATATTCTAAGCTTTATATATACAGTTAGTTTATATATTCTAAGCTTTAAGTGCGTAGTTAATAGTATATTCTAAGCTTTAGGTATATAATTATCTATGCGTAGAAGTTAGATATATTATAAAATAGAAGCTACTTACTCTACTTCTCTTATAATAACTTCTTTATTATACTATTTAGTTTTTCTATTAATAATATAGACTTTCTATTAACTATAATACTTTCTGCTTCTAAGAAACGCGTTACTATAGCTTATAATACGCTTTATAAGCATAGTTAACTTAATGAGAGCAAAAGTACTACTTTATAGCTTATTTATATTAATGCATCTTAGTCTTACTTTTATATATTACTATATAGAGCTCTTACTTTTGCTATAAGCTAAGCTACTAAAGATATCTCTTTTAAGTTATAGCTATATAATATAATACTAGAAGATATAATTACTATACTTATAGAGAGATTAGAAGCTATAACTAAGGCTAAAACTACTAAGTTACTAGATAGTAGTAAGTATAAAGAATTTAATACTTATATAGTAGATAACTTTAATAGCATTAATTAGACTTAACTTTAGCTATACTATAAGCCTTTATAGATACTCTAGAATAAGAAAAGCTAAGTATATAACTTTAGTTATTATATAGTATTAGTTAGTAACTTAATATAGCTCTACTAGATATATAAACTATGCTATTAGAGAAAGAGAGTAAATATAGCTTATATTATTAAAATAACTAAAATAATCTCTAGTGCTATTAAGTATCTTTATACAGATCTACTAAGCTACTACTATAATATAAATAGTAAGTTTATAGTTATATAACTAGAGTAACTAAAGTAACTAAAGTAACTAAATAATAAGTAATTATTACTTAAGTTTATTACTACTAGTAGTCTTTAGCTAACCTAAGAAGTAACTAATATAATTAGTAACTTTAATATCTAAAGCTTTTGCTATGCTGTAGTAAGCTAGCTTATTAATAATAACTACTCTCTATAAGAGTTTAAGATGCTAGCCTTTAAGAAGATAATTATATATACTAACTTAGAGGCTATAGAGGCGCTATAAGTAAGTTATACTAGTATTTCTAGCTACGTTATATAACTATACTAGTATATAGAGCTATAGATTGCTTAGACTATAGCCTACGCTATAAGTAAGATGTATATTAGGTTTAATAGCTAGATAAGGAAAGGCAGTAAGCAGAGCTTCTTTAGCATTATTACTTATTTCACTAATAGTAATAGTAATCTTAGAGACTTTTCGATTAGTTTACTATAGCTTTCTAGTACTTATCTAGAAGTTTAAATAGCTAAGATTATTACGTAAATACTAGAAATATTTAGAATTACTAATAAGAAACTTAGTTACTTTATTCTAGATAATACTGCTTTAAATAATACTATAATAGAAACTCTTACGCTTTAGTATAACTTTAACGCCTTTTATTATTATATTTATTATATACTATATACTCTTAATCTTATTAGATAAACTATTATCTTTAGTTATAATAAGAATGCCTTTAATAATAATAATAGTAATTAGCTATTAATAGAGAAGCGCTTTCTATAAGAGTAGCATAGATATAGACTATTAGAAATACTAATTAATATTATTAACTATATTAAGATGCCTATATAGTATAATCTTTCTTATAAAGGCTTAGCGCGTTATTTAACGCTCTTCTATATACTTAACTAGACTAATATCTTAAGCCTATAAAGCTTATAGTTATCTAATAGAATAGCTTCTATGCTATATTTAAGCGCGCTATGCTTCTTAAGAACGCTATTAATAAGTATACTAATAACTATATTAATTAATAAGAATATAATAACATTTACGCTTATAGCAAAGGTAATAAACTTCTAGATACTTCTGCTTAGATATAAGTAGGCTTTTAGCTAAGAACTAGATAGTAATAATAGAGTATATAGATATATTATAACTGCTAAAGAAGGTATATTATAGCCTTAAAGGCTGCAGTAAGTATAGTAAGTTTAGAGTAATCTATAAAATTATACTATAATTTAAAGCTATTCTTAAGATATATACAGACTATCTCGTTAAGATATTTAAGTAAGTTAACTATAATAAATCTAGAAGCTTCTAAAGACTATCTTATAATTAATCTATATATAGCTTAGATAAAACTAAATAAGTATTATAGCTTACTAGATAAGTTACTAATATACTATGCTACTTACTATCTTTATCTATACTATAAAAAATACTATGCAAATAGTTAGCGTAATAAATCTAAATAGATATACTAGAATAAAGCTATATTATAATAAATCTAGTCTACGTATAAGCTGCTAGTATCTTCTCTAAGGCGTTAGATTCTATATACTAGTACTCTATATAATAGTATTACTACTCTAGTTAATATAGAACTTACTAGTAATAATAATAAAGTAGTTACTATAATAGATTAACTTAAATAATAGTAATAATTTAAACTTACTTAAACTAGTACTTAGTTTAAGTCTAGTAGCAGCTCTATTATATACTAGTAAGAATTATACGCTTAATATCTATAGCTAGTATAGCTTTTAATTAATATACTTAGTATATCTACTAGTAGTTATAACTATAAATGCCTTTTTAGTAAGCTTAGTAATCTACTTAAGCTTTATTGCTATAAGATTAGGTTATAACTACTAGTAGTAGTATAGTATTTAAAGAGCTAGTAAGCTGCTAGGTTTAAACTACTAAACTAAATTACTTTAAGCTTATCTATAAGTACTATTAGTAATAAAGAACTTATTATAAGATATAAGATTAATAGCTAAAAGTAAAGCATATATAATTCTACTCTATAATGCTTGCTTATCTATCTTACTTATATATATAGCAGAGAAAACTATTCTTAACTATGCATATAAGGCTAGGAAAACTATTATTAGCTACATATATAAGGTAGAG